CAGCGACACGCAGCTTGCCTCGAAACGCCTCGACCACAAGGCGCACACAAGCACAGCACGCTCAAGCCGCTTTCGCTTCGCCAGAGACCCATCACCACTTCCGTCTCGCATTCTCAAGAGATAGTTTCTTCGAGCAAGATGCCAGACGCGGTCAACTTTCCCTCGTCGGGCAAAGCCCTCGTGTCCATCGAGACGATTTCGCAAACTCCTCGAATCTGGGTGTTGCACATGTTGGCAGCCGAAACGCCAGACAATCGTTTGACTCGCAATTTCCTCACCGCCTTGGCCTCAGCTTTGGATCACGTCCAATCTCAATGGGAGAGCATTGCGGGGGAAGAAGCTGCCTCGAAAGGTGCTGCATTGATCAGTACGGGCGTGTTGGACGAAAAGAATAAGAGCAGTCGTTTCTTCAGTAATGGACTCGACTTTGAGGCTGCCATTGCCGACGAACACTTTTTCGATCAGTGCCTCATGCCAGTCTATGAGAGGCTCCTCTCTTTTCCCATTCCTACGATAGCCAGCGTTGGTGGACACGCGTTGTGAGTGGGAGGGAGAGAACTGCACAGAGAACCGCGCTCTAAACAGGCTTCGATGCTCAATGTTCGCGCTCGTGTGCTTCCCCTTGCAGCGCCGCTGGATTTGGGCTCATCTCTGCCCACGACTACCGAGTCATGTCTGGTATCAAGGGCTACGCGTGCATGAATGGTGAGTCGTGTGCTTACAGATGTCCATATGCCTACGCTGTGGGCCGGCCATGCCTTTGCTGCGCTGCCGCTTCTTACGACTCCTGAACCCCAGAGATTGATTTTGGAGCTCAGCTGCCTCCTGGTCTTCATGCCGTTCTTCGAGCCAAGGTGAGCCGATGCGAAGCTTTGGCTGTCCATTGCCCACCGGCTGAATATCATGCACGTCCGATGTCCCTTGTCCAGTTTCACAGCCCCGCCGTCATGCGAAAGATGGTGTTGGAGGGACACCGCTTCACAGGTCAGGAATTGAAAGCTCTTGAATTCGTCGATGAGCTCGTACCTCCGCCTGGAGGCAGCGGCGGTCCACAACAAACGCTGGAGGGCGCTGTTCAGCTTGCTCACAAGGTTGCACCGAAAGCCACAAAGGTGAGCAAGAGACAGATTCGCCAAAGAGCTATTTCGCATGCAATCGAATCGCAGAATCAACAAGCCGAGCCGGTGCTGACGGCCCGCGCGTGTTGCCTGGACCCGTAGGACGCGTATGGCAGCAATAAGCTTGTCATGTACCAGCCCTTCTTGCACATCCTCCGGCAACCGTGAGTAGGACTGAAAGAACAAATGATTCGATCCAGTGCTGATCGCCTGTCTTTATGCTTTGATCATCTTCAGCAATTCGGACATCACGGGCGCACTCACAGATGGGTCCAAGCTTTAATCTCACAAACTTGGGAAAACTCAGAGGTGACAAATTGCATGCAGGCTGTTTACGTTAGTCCCCTGATTGTACTGCTACAAAGCTCACTCGGTGATGCTTGAGACACTGCTCATTGTCCCGGCTTGAGAACGTCTCCTAACGCATGACTAGCAGATTCCTGATCGCTATCGCTATCCATGAGACTTTTGCCACTCCGAACAGAGCTGTAGCTGGCTGTTCTAGATCCCATGCCGGGTCTGATCGGAATGGGAGGCGGCCCAGGCTTTGCAGCAGCGATTTGATGCGCTGCAGATTGCTGATCATCAGCTTCTATAACGCCATCGGCGTCCCACTGAGGCTCGAAGGGAGCAGAGCCTTCGAACATCTTGGCTCGAGCTGCTACGGAGGTAGCCTTTGGCAACAATGTCGCATCAAAATCCCGTCGCCTATCTGGACTTGGAGCAGGGACGGAGCGGCTAGAAGTGGAATTTGACTTGGCCCGAATTGTGTCACCTCTTTTGGGAGGTTGAGGTGGTGGCCGTCTGTATGGTGTCGCGAGGCCTTGTGAGGGCTGTTGCCGCTGAGGCTTCTCACGATCTGCGTTGACGAAAGGATTGCCATGCGCGCTACCAGCACTCGAGTCATCGCTCGAGGGGTCTAATTCATCCTCGCTCGATGCTACTCCCACATAATTGTCATCGTCAAGCGGGTGCGTGAGCTAATATGTTCAGGAAATGGACTGGCGTTGGCGCACTCAGGTGGACTTACCGGTATCCCACCAATTGGAGTGCTCGTCGGAAGGAGGGGGCACTGGAGTAATGCGAATTTTGCGCGGGCACCAGTCCGTCAGCTGTCCAGATCCGACTGTCAGCTAGCACCTACTCACAGTCAAGTTGGTCACCGCTATCTTCTTCTGAAGACGAGCCTGGGTGTGGCAACTGATGCGCCAAACCTCCGCTGCGCGCTTGAGCGCTTTTGCCCGCCGCAAGCAAGTTCCGACGAATGGCATTCCTGCGATCGTGGTCGAAGACCCTGGCTTCCGCCTTGAAACTAGCGTAGACAGGTCTATGATCAGAAGTCTTGAGCTCTGCTCTGCTGTACAAAGTTTGTGTCAAGCTGCCAGGTCTTGCCGCCCGAAACAAAATACGGTCTGTCCAAGCCGGCACACGCTGCTTCTCCGAAGTGTCATACAATGTAGACCCAAAGTCGTACTTGTACGTTGGCAAGAAGCGCACCTCGCCTTCTTCGTAGCCCCCAAATGCCGATCCCGACGCTCGCGCCCGATCCAGTTGATCTCGAGCGTAAAGCTGTGCAAATTCTTGCTGCGCGCAAAGAGGCCTGGCGGTTTCATTCGGTAGATCTATTCTATAGTTGAAGTCTCCAGCCCAGAAGACGTGATCGTGACTTGCAACGCTGCGTCCTTTCTGGAATGCAAGCCCTCTCAAGATGGTGTGATAATCGGCATTGCGTTCCTCTACATTTGAAGAGCCAGCGGCGAGATGGGCAGTGATGAAGCATAGGCTTGTGTCCCAAAGATTAAGCCTGATAGCTACTCCGCCTTTGTTTCCGCTCATGCCTTTGAGCCCGGTCTTGCGGGAAGCAGCCTCAACTTGCCGAACGCTGTCCACCAATGTGTCCTTCACGAAGATGACCAGCGCAGATCCTACAAGTTGCTCACTTCTCAGCAGGATGTAATCCCCCCTTTTGTTCGGTCTCTTATGCAGCGCGTCCACCAGTACGCTTTCCCATACTCGGATTTTGTCAGGGTCTGTCATCAAAATCTGCTGGGGAGTGAGGGGTACCACTTCTTGAAATCCAAGAGCGATAATGTCTGCTTCTTTGCTGGCCTCTCCTGGGCCCTGCGGGAACAGCCATGGTAGAAGGGACTCGCCCATCGGAGCGCGGCCCGCCAGGTTCCACGTGCCAACAAAGATGTCGAGCTCGCGCGTGCTCGAGTACTCGTCGAGACGGTCCTGTAACTCGGCGCTGACCGAGTCATTAAGGGGATCGTACACGCTGACGGGCTTTTGGTTCGCGAGATTGCCCAGAAGCGCATCTATAACGCTCTGCTTGGATTTGTCTTGGAAGTTGTTGATGTACATGCGTCCAGCGCTCTTTGCTGCATCGCTAAGAAAGCCTCCAAGCGTCTTCTTGCCGCTGCCTGCACGCGTGTAGCTCGTGTTCAATGCTCCAGTACCAGCATAGATCTTGCTGAGAGCTGCGTGCGGGAAGCATACTTGGTCAGTCTCGGTTGCGCCGGGAAGGTAAGATCATCTTGACCTACCATCGCCGTTCTCCGCCCACATGATACGATGCGTAGACCAAATCGGATGGCCAGAGGGCACGAAGGGCTCGAAAGCGGCACTGTGCTTGCTAGCCCTCTCGAAGAAAGTCTCCAGCGCTGATTGCGATAGCATGTCTTGAACGACGTTTGTCCTGTCAAGACTGTGTCGCACAATCTAATGTCAGCTGTTCTCAAGCACGGATCTCAGCGAATTGCACGCATTTGGCAAGAAATGACTCACCAGTCGAGACAATTCACGCGGAAGAGCCCAGCCTGCTGGCGATACACCCCTTCTTGCTCTCCTCCCTCGACTACCACGGTGAACCCAAAAGCTTGCTTCTTCAGCTGAACGGGCCCAAGGTACTTGAGCTCTGACCTGACGCCGTCCAGCCCACCGTGCAGCCTACTGGTGGCATGGAAGTCAAAATTGGTGAGGCCAAGCTTCTCCAGGTCACTGCTGTCGTCATCTCGCGAATCGGCTTCCGAGCTCTCGCTGTCGGAACCGAGGCCGCTTTTCTCGTCGACTTGATGGGCGCTTTCTCCATGCCTAGCCGAGCGCATGGATTCAGCCAAGGTATGGGCTAAAGTGTGCCTCATATGTTCGCCGTATGCTCCGCTGAGTATCGTCTCTGCATCGCGCGTACCGAGCAGGTTGATCGCGTGCACTGCTTTGTATTGGGACAGCAGATCGACAAAATGCCGATCGAAAGCAGGCTGAGAGGCTAGTCTAGGCCTGGTGATCTGTATCCTCGCGTTGAAGGTCTGCAGCCCTTGTTGCTCCCAGAACATCGGCGGCGATCCTCTCACTTGCGTGTAGCTCATAGTGACAGACTCGTGCGTGAAGAGTGTCTCGGATTCGACAAAGTTGGCCACGTTGCCATCGTCATCGATGCCTCGTGTATTGAATCGAGTGCCAGCCCTTTTCGAGCTCAGTCGACTTATGAGCGCTAGAGTGGTGCCGCTCTGAGAAGAAGAAGCTGCTACAGATCCTATAGCATTAGGACCGAACGCGTCGATCGAAGAGCTAGGGCCGGGACCTGGCATTGTGGAAGCGTAGGGCTTGTGTGACTGTGTTCCAGATGCAGGCCATTCGAAGGTCGCCACGAAGCCTTGTATGACAAGAAGCTGGCAAGGTTATGCGGCATTGTACGATCCCACGTCGGCTACTACTCGCGCGGTATGAACAGTTTCCACCAAAAAGCACTCACCAGAAAGCCAGCACGATCCAGCCTGCCTTGCTCCCCAGGATCGAGGCCAGCGCGGAAATGCAGCAGTGGCTCGGCCATATAGGTGTTCCACACAAATCTGGCATCGAATTTGGTCAAGCTGCTGGCTTGCTTGTTGCGCTGTCTGTCTGCCGAGGGAAACTTGAAGGGACGCTTTCCGCCCTCAGAATTCGCTGCTTTCCGTAGGCGACAACGTCGGTCCAAACGTCTGGAGAGGTCGAAGGCATTCTTCTCGGCGTAGTAGAAGCTGCCGGTGCTCAGCAGCTTTCTGAGAGATGTGCAGGGATGTTCCTCCCTTATTGCTACTGTGCTTGTATTGGTTGTTGTGTAGCTTGACTCGCCGGCGTATGGATCGAAGGACCCACTCTCACTCATTGAAGGATCCAAGATGTCATCCCAGCTGGCTCTATTGATGCAGACGAAAGATACGGCACTGATCCTGGAGACCTCCTCCCCAGGTCTGACAGATCCTACTTTGATGGATCTGACTACGATGACGGCAAAAACATCCGGCCCTACATTCATAAGTCCCAAACAGCCGTGAGCAGGTCTGCCCGCCGGCGTGACCCTCCTCAAGTCGGACAGCCCCAGATTGGAGGTGGGCAAGAGTTCGATGACGGCCCTAGTGGAGCCTGTAGGCGCGCTAGTCCCTGCTGAGGCCATCGATATGACCAGCGATACCGCGTCCTGTTGGGGCGCTCCATGCTGGGCAGCACCGGCCCCAGAGGACGATAGGATGACGGCGCGCGGTGACTTCCTGATGTGCACCTGCATGCTTGCCGACAAGCTTGGAGAGCGACGCTCTCAGCAAGGCCGACGCCGATAGCGGTTGCGGAAGGTGATGAATGCTGTGTGGTGACTGTTCTGTGCGTAGCGAAGGTGGCAGTCACAGTCGTGAGTCAAGTAACTCGAGAAGGAGTGAAAGCGGTGTGCATAAGCGGGGCTGATGAGTCGCGTTCAAACACTCCATTTTATGCAGATAACTCCACATCTCTACAAGAACCCATGCTGGAGGAGCAATATCGCAATATCCATGAATTTTAACATCTAGACCCTCATGTCTAGTCCATGACCTTTGTCTGGTAAAGCCAGCAGACAAGCCACTTGTGATTACGTGTAGAGAGCGAACAAACACGAGTACTCAACACTTGACTCGACTCAAGACTGTTCGCTTGAATGCACCCGCCTCGCGTCGATCTTCGCCTTCGTGCATGCACGCATTCGCAAGTATTCAGACGTGCGCCTCTATGCGTCATGAGTATTGGTCTGACTGATGTGTATTTCCTGCCTTCACAGGCTCGTTGCACTTCCTCAGCTGCCTTCGATGTCGCAACATCAATCGTAGAGCATCCAAGAGCGCAACGTACAAGACATTCCCAATAGGCAAAGCATCTCAGAGACGTCGAGGCCGGGGTCCACTTCTCAAGGCCGAGCTCATTGGGGTGAAGAGAAGCATCATGTGGTTCCCATTGACACTAGCGATCATTCTGGCCGTACATGGATACAGAAAGGGCTCGCTGAGCGCTTCAGGGGCGCTGGCCGCATTCGTCTTTGGCTTCGCTACCATGCACAATCCCTCAGCCGCTGTGAGTAAGCAGCGCGTACATTCCTCGACTCACAGTCTTGACACAACAAAATTTCCTTTCTAAACCCTTCTAAATCGCCTCTGATGTTGATAACAGTTTGGGATCATGCTCATCGTCTTTTACTTGACTGGCTCACGCGCTACAAAGGTCAAAGCTGATATCAAGTCCACTTTAGAGCTGGAGGCCAAACATGGCTCGTCGTCTCCCTCACCACAATCAGCAAAGCACAAATCAGCGATAGGAGGTCAGAGGGATTCATGGCAAGTCATTTGCAACGCTCTGAATGGCACGATTGGCGCTCTGCTCTTTGCACATCTCCACTCCAGCGCGCGAGCCTACAGCATTGCACCACACTGGATAAACAACCTGATTGGCGTCACTTCAGAGCCTTCCTTTTGCTTGCTGGATTCTCGCAAGTCCAGCTCCGCACTTCTCGAAGATCCACGCACTTGGATCTTGTTCTCCCTCGGGCATTTCTCCGCGAGTTGCATCTGCCGTCCGATCATGTGCGAGATCGAAGCTGACTCGGTCTTACCATCCTGAATTCTCGAATGACGCGCAGTGCTGCATGGGCGATACTTTGGCGTCAGAGGTCAGACCCTAGAAGTGAAAGCTCGAACTGCAGATAAAACGAGCTGCTGAACCGCTCGAATACCCCTTCGATTTGGCACACAGCTGGGCATCCTGGCCAAAGGGCAGCCACGACTGGTGACGACGTGGAAGCAGGTCCGTCAGAGGAATTGCAAGCAGGCTCGAGTAAGGATGAGCTACTAATTGATGTCTCGCCCCTTGCATACCCACAGGTGCCTCGCGGCACAAATGGGGGTGTATCGGCGCTAGGCACTCTCGTATCTTTACTCGGCGGAGCACTTATTGGAGTTGTTTGCATCGCGAGCCTATACTTCCTACCACCGAGCCAGACCGGCGACTCGCTCTGCTCTCCGAGCGTTTCGTCAGCTGTGATCTACTTGAGCGTGGGCGCGCTTTCGGGGCTCGGAGGATCGATGGTGAGAAGTGGCTTTTCGCCTCTTTGCTCTCAAGAGAATGACATCTCCTCACAATCAACTTCGGCTCCTTCGAACTTTGCTTGCCATTGCAGGTGGACTCGCTACTAGGCGCCACTGTGCAGAAGTCATGGTATAACCGCGAGCTTGGCAAAATTCTCATTGGTAGACGGCCTTCCAGCTCGACAGAGGGTCAATGGCAAGTCATCACTGGTCATGATATGCTTTCTAACAGTGCTGTGAGTCACCGCACAGCGTCGCTGAAGGATAAGCGTGCTGGTTCGCGAATCTCATCACCTCTGTGCGCGCTCGCTCATCTTGTCCTGCAGGTCAATTTTATATCCAGCGCTGTGACTGCCTGTGCGGCAGCTGGACTGGGCAGTCTCCTATTCTGACAAGTCACAGAATCCGAATTTATGCACGTGGATTTGTCGCAATTGAAGCGGTACGCAATGGTGAATAACATTGACCAGTGTAGAGGAAATTGTAGCCCAGATCACATTCGATTTCGCTGGTTTTTCTTCTTGCGCGCAAGCTCGGTATCGATAGCAGCCATAGCCTTCACAAATGCAAGCTTGTCGAGGCCCTCAGAGGTTGGCGCGCCGGCTACGGCAGCATCCCAAACTTTGGCCAGGAAATCGTCTGGCAGCTTGGACCGAGTCCAGATTCGAGCGCACGCCTTTCGAGACAGGTGTCTAGCTTCCGCCTCCACGCCTTGTCCATTCCTAACGTCAAGACTGCTATTCCTAACTGTGCTGTCGCTAGTCTCCTGCAACCGCCTGCCCCGCTTCTCAGGCACGTCGTCGTGGAAAGATAATCCGGATCGTTGGCGTCTAGCGCGCAGACCCTCTTCCTTGCTCACCTGCCGCTCCCACACTTCTTCGTATCGAGCTCGAGCTTCGGTATCACAGGTCTCACAAAGGTACTTCTTGCCTTTGTTTGCCCTTTGCAAGACCGCATCTTGCTGCATGGGTACTATGGTATCCCAGCGCGTACCACCTGCGGCCCCTGGAGCTGCGCGCGTCTCGAAGTGTCTGGGGGGAGGTGGGGGCTGAGCAAGCCCCAAATGAGGCAAGGCGGGCGGAGATGCTTTGGAGGATGACGAAATGGATGAGACCGATCCTGGTGCTGGTGAAGAATTATTGGATCTGGCGCCCCACGCGCTATGCACCTGGGGCCCTGGCGAAGCCGAAGCAAGCGCTGCCGTCCGTCTTGGCGGTAAAGGCAGAGCATGATTCGAGGGCGCAGAGCTAGAGAGCAAGTCGTCTTTCACATCGTCTTTGCTCAATGTGCTGCTCAAACCCGCTCGAAGATCATCAGCTGCCGCATCGGAAAGTGAAACGTTGTGCGAGGTGGCATTGTTGGTAGAAGTGATGGTGATGCTTGTTGGCCCTCGCAAGCCTGCGGGGTCCGACCCCCCCGTCCTCGAATGACGTCCAGCAGCTATTTTGGGGCTGGTACTACGAAGCGCAGGGGACACCGCTGCAGGCGTCGTAGAGGCGTGCCCGGGACGTGGCGGAGGCGCAGGTCTCCGTTCCGTTGGTGGTTTGGAGTCGGAGGGGGAAGGAGAAGAGCCGAGGGAGCCTGTCGAGCTAGAAGCCCAAGCAGGTGCTTGATGCAAGCCCCTGCCCCTCGCAAGCGCTCCAGCAGGTGGTACAGCGCGAGCCTTGTAGCCCAACGCGGCATGCGCCTCGCCTGGTGTCTGCCATTCCGGCGCTTTGGCGTTCGGATCGGAATGACCGCGAGAAGGCGGGCCTGACGCGCCCGGGCGGGGCGGTACAGAGGGTCTTCGAGAGTCTTGGCCGGGCATGAACTCCGAACCTTGATGGGGCGGCGCTGAAGTTCCAAACACAAAAGAGGTAGGACTGCTGGTCGATTTGAGGTCGTACTCTGACGCGTTGGAAGTACCCAACTTTCGTGGCGGCAGAGACGGTGGCATGTGAGGTGCAGGGCTTCCCTTCGACGGAGAGGGTGGATGAACAGTGACACGTGCGGGTGGAGTTGACGCACCTCCTGTGCTGACCTCCGCCGTCTTACTCGGTCGGGGAGGTGGAATTGGAGCTCTTTTAACGCCATCTGATTGTTCTTTGTTTGCGGCCGCCGGACTCGAGGAGCGCGTGACTGAGTACGATGAGCTGGGCGAAGGTCGCAGGGAAGGGTGCAGTGCAAGTTGAGGATTGGTATCCTCGCTACCGTCTAGCATATGCCTCGACGCCGGCAGCTCGTCTGCTACTGCAGTCCGCAGGTTTGTTTCGAGCGTAGAAGTGGTTGTGCCAGAATCATAGGTAAGTGCTGATTCGCACTCAGGCCTTGTTGCTGCGCCATTCCCATACAGCGCAATGATGTTCCTGACCCCCAGCCGAGGGCTGTCAGTATGACTGCGGTTGACCCCGTTGCCACCGACACTGGGTGCGCTCGAGCTTGAGGCCGAGCTATTGCTTCTCACGCGACTATGCTGAACCGTCCAGGCCGGATCCGCTGATCTAGCTCCCAGCTCCCGCAAGCTCACCCCACTTCCAGTCTTTCGCAAGCTTGGACCGGTGTCTTTATTGGCAGCGAGATTCCAATCGGCAGCCTCTTGAACGAGGCTCCTACTGCTCGATGGGCTCAGCGTGTTTCCTGCAAAGTATTCTGGAGCTTTGTGAGGGGTCGCATTTTGCATCAGCGGCGAGACGCTCGTATGCCCTTCCCTGACTGGTACGCCAAATTCTGAAAGGGTGCTGGAGGAAGCGCTGGGGGAAGCGCTGGACGCGTTGATGGTTCTGGACAAGCCTCTTGCGACTTCTCCACCGGCAGACTGGGCAGATCGGATGCCAGCACGGCCTGCACCATTCCATGTAGCACCGTGCGATCGAGACGAAGGAGGGCTTAGAGAGCCGCCGCTGGCGAAGGGTACCGCCTGAGAGGTCGCACGGCCAGCACTAGACGCACTACCTGTACTGCCTCCGCCAAAGGCGGCTATGCGAGCCTTGATATCAATAGGCTGACTATAATCGTCTTCTTCACCTGAGGTGGGAGCAATTGCTGATGCATCCGTAGGTCGGGATGCCATCCTGCCTTTTCATTCAGGTGCAACCGCTTCGGCTTAGCAGGAGTAGTAGTGTTGCGACGTCGAGGTGATGTCGTCATTCGCTGGACGTTTCGACACATCGAAAATCGAGCAGGGGCCAACGTGCACAGGCTCCTCAGGCGAGCTCAAGGAAATGGAGCAGAGGTTGAGGCGGAAGGGTGGCAGCCATCTACTGCTGGGGCGAGACAGAGGTGGCTGGTAGATATAAAGACGCTTTGCGGCAAGCAAAGTCGATGAGGCCTAGCTGTGCCAACGCTGTAATTATAGGTACTGTAATTTTGGCCCTCGGACAAAAGAGCTGCCTTGCCCACAGCCACGCTGCAGCACCCAGCCAATGCAAGGTCGCGTGACTTGATTGACTTTGTTGAGCTCCACGCCAGGATTGCTAGTCGTTCCTGGGAGGGCCAAAGCTGGCTTGCCGTTTCGGGTTTGTTCGTCGTGACGACGTAGGGCTCCTCGGGATGCTTTGCTGATCGTCGTGGTGGTGCCAGCTGCAAGTACTCAGACTCAGATTGCCGGGTGGACCAGTCACAAAGACCTCGCTGGACGCGACGCCACTCAAGGTCGATGACTGCGGGGCAGCAAGCAGAAGGAGTGCACTATTGAATGAAGAGTATGGAGAAAGGTCGAAAGCTCGCACGAATAGGACCCAGATGATCTCAAAGAGGGGACGGGACGTCTGCTGGAAATGAGAGTGGGTGCATGCTGCCTCGATCGTCTGGACTCGCTCGTGACTTGGCTACAGTCTTAAGTAGCTTGGATGAGGCGGGATCTGGAGCGCATACATTGTGATTCATGCACCACGCAGCTAGCATCCCGTCGGCGGCTTGCAGGGAATGCAGCGGCAGCCGCGGACACATCGATCGATCATCAGCTTTGTTCATTCCGCCGTTTTCGCACGATACGGGGATCTTCTTGCGCCTCCATCCACTCACCACTCATCATTCGCACAGTCAAGCAAGACTCGCTTGGGGGCTCCGTACAAATGCGAGATGCCAAGCGTGCTGATGCTGATACCTCTGCTCCATTCTTGAAGGTCTCCACCCGCGTCCGCTTCCTGGCATTGCGCCGGTGAGCAGCGCGCTCAGGGGGCTCAAAGTGCACAGCTTCAACTCGGCTTTCCACCCTCACTTTACAAGCACAGGCGTCCCTCACGATGAACGGCACCTCGACTCACCACATCGGCGCTGTCGCAGGGTATGCTGCATCAGCTTCGTCCCGCGCCACTGGCCCCTCCGGCGTCTCTGCTTCCGGGTCAAAGAAGTCTGCAAGCGAGGGGACTGACAAACATCCTCCGGCAGGATACGTCACCATAAGCAACAATCTCCTCGCTTCTCTGCGTCCGACAAAGGTCTTCAGACCAGCGCAACCTGCCGCATTGTCCAAGCATGACGCTACAACAGAGCAAGTGGGTAGCTTAACGCACAGCGACCAGTCGAAGCTGCCGCACATTACCAGCATGTGCTTCGATGATCGAGGAGAGCATCTGGTCACAGCGGCGGAGAACGAGACATTTCAGGTGTACGATTGTCGGAAGGGCAAGTGAGTAAAGGAACATCGATTTTGACGGTGCGCTCAGTCGTCGACCAAATAGTCGTTCGAGGAAAGTTTGAACATGCTGAGTGACCTGGCGCATGCTGAGCGGGCAGGACTTGGTCGATTGACTGTTATCACATCCTTCTGCTTCTCTAGGAGCACTCGGACACTCTACTCCAAAAAGTACGGAGTACATCTGACGCGTTTCACACACACCAACTCTGCCATCATCCATGCTAGTACTAAGGAAGATGGTGAGCTCCTTGCTCGACTAGGTACAGCTCAGTCACGCTCAACATGATTGGGCTTCGACGCGCAGACACCATTAGGCAGCATTCGCTTGAAAAGAACACATATCTTCAATATCACAGAGGTCACAAGGCCAAGTGAGTCGCTTCGAGTACACGAATGGGACCTACTGCAGACTGAGAAGTGCTTCGGCTCGGTAGGGTCACCACACTCCAGATGTCGCCCTTGGACGAAACCTTTCTCAGCGGCGCTGTGGATGAGTCTGTGCGGCTTTGGGATCTCAGATCTTCCCACACTCAGGTGAGGATAGTGGTCGCTGGAAGGGGCCCCCCTCAATCTCGTTATGCAAACTCAACAAGCTGGGACTGCTCCTTTGTCAAGGGTCTGATGCGGGTGAAAGGTCACCCGATTGTAGCGTACGACTCAACAGGTCTGGTTTTCGCCCTTACCATCAGCGAAAGAGCGCTCGTTTTGCTCTACGACGTACGCTCATTTCACCTAGTGAGCATAGCAGTACGAGTCATGTGTCACTTGGGCACTTGACGAGCGATCTGCTAATGGGGATTCCCTTCATTCTATCTCTCAAGACGCCTTTTCTGAGCATTGCGCTTCCAGAAAGGACTGTGCCTACTGCATTGGCCTTCAGTCCGAGCGGGACTTCGGGCTCTGACGGCTCGTTGCTGCTCGTTGGAACAGCCAACGACACGCTCTACATCCTAGACACTCGTGCAGGGGTCTTGCGATTTCGTCTGGTAGGTCATCAAGGCTTGCAAGATGTTGCAGGAGGCATGGGTGCGACTGAAGCGATCCAAGAAGCGGGGATATCGGGTCAAGAGTTCAGTTGGTCCGCGGATGGCGCTTTCATTGTTGCAGGTGAGGGTCACCTTGTCCGCGCTCCGATGGCGTGACGCTTGTAATCCTCACAATCACCTTTTCCTGCGCTGACAGGCACCTCGAGCGGAGACGTGCTTTACTGGGCTATCCCGGCTTCCGCTCAGGCATCCCTCACTGAACCGATCGACATCCATCCTTTCAAAAGTTCACAGCGTCACTCAAGCGGCGCCATCCGGTCCTTGGCCTTCAATCCGCGAGCCGCAAGTGAGTCTCACGCCGAGGGGAGTAATGCTCTGCACGCGATCAGCAAAGCTTCAGCTGATAGCATCTCAAATTGCTAGTGCTCGCCACTGCCAGCCATGATCTCACAATGTGGCTGGTTCCACCTCCCGAAGAGTAGGACTTGCGCGCGCCAGGCGAACCAGCACACGAGCAAACATCGACACCTTCACGCCATATGGTGTTCATTGCTTGCTCAGAAAGTCCTTCGGACTCTTTCGTGCAGGGCCTTGAATCCGTTGACGGTCTCCTGAATTTCAGGCAGGTGAGATGCCGATCGAGGCGGCAAAGCAGCTTGCTGCCCGCTCAACGCAGAAAGGTAAACGCCAATAGAGTCGTCCACTCTCTTGGCTGGGAAACCACTCCGGGCATAGCCGGAAGACAGGTCGTCCAGCCAATTCGTCAGCAAAGCGCCAATTTCTGCGAGCAGGAAATGTACCCCGGCATCCGAGTTGAAAGGCTCTCGCTTCATCTCGAAGAGGCTATCTTCGACGTCGTAAACCTCTTCTTGGGCAGCGCCTGCCAAAATGAGCGTCGAGGAAGCCCAGCCGAGAGGTATTTCTTGCGACTCTCTGTTCTCGAACGCGTACCGCAGTAGCCTAGCCAGCAGGATGTCTACACACCAAGACAACATTGAGTCAGCAAGGCCGGGCGAGGACGGCGACACAGATCCTCAAGTGCTTCGCACGGCTCACCGATCGGAAAGGCGATGCTAGAGCCGATGAAGCGTTTTCCTAGATCAACTATGAGCACACCAACCCTTTCGAAACGTTGCTCAGGCGCAGCACTCTCCTCAGCTGCGCATATGAGCAAGAGAACCAAGCCAGATCAGATTCGGAGGCAGGTACCTCACCGTTGAAGGCAAGGCCTTGTGAGCTCACCTTCGAGAATGAGCTCATTCCATTCTTGCTCAACTAGAGCGGGGTCGTCGTGCTCCGAAATTTCGTAAATCATGAGTTTCACTTCGTGCATAGAATATGGCTGGGCGAACGCCTTGTACAGCTGCGGGCGCAAGGCAAGTGTCAGAACATCCATCGAAGCGGAAGGGAGGATGCGAACCTGTCGTAGCACTAGTGGCGGTGCGCCACTCACTGTTGACATAGTCAAGAGCTCAGCGTCCAAAATTTGCAATATTTCTTGCTTGGTTGAAGGCTCGATAAAGTCATCTGGAGCGTCTCGAGTGAAGGAGTAGACCTCGACCTGCACGCGCGCAGTCTCGAGCGAGTCGTCGACATTCGTGATGAATTCCACGACATCGTTGCCGTGCACATGAGAAGACTTTGCATGGCTGGAAGCTTTGGCGAGGTATTCTACCCGATCTTCAAGCCGCAGATCGAGCCTTTGGGGGCGACAGGATGAGCACGAGAAGCTTTGGGGCGCATGAGCTGGACGACTCACTCTGTGGATGACGCTAGACCGGCGTACACCTGGGCCGCAGCGTAATTTTGCCCAACGTTCGTGTACCAGTCGCACAATAACAGACACCTCTGCAAAGTGACGGGCTCCGAACGCAGATATTCCTCGATGTATGGCGTTCGCATGCGGAGCAGCTCGTCTGTCTTTCCGCGCGAAAGTAGCCAGTCGTACAGGGCGTCGTGGAACAGGACGTCGGAAGCACCTTCGGCTTGCAGATACGCGTCTTTTCGTCGGATCTCCAACGACCTCACTTGATGGCGATGAGCACGCAGGCAGGTGTACATGAGCATTGTCGTTGACACGCCAAGATGAGCCACAGCATGACTCACATGTGGATTGAACAGCAGGATCTGCGCTTTGGTGTACTTGCGCTACTTGAGCATCTAGAGCCTCGAGCGCGGCAATGACGAGGGTGTAGCACTTCATGCTCCCTTCGAAGACTTGCTGACGGGAGACGTCGCCAGCCGGCATGCCATCGTTGCGATAGGACAAAGCCGCTCCATTGATGTCCCACTGTGCGGCGCACCTGAGAGGAAGTTCGATTGCGCCACTGTCGAACCCAAGTTCGCGGTAGTCCTTGCATATAGTCTCCAGCTTCTCGAAAGGCAAATGCGCGGAAGCGCGGTTGAGCAATCGTGCGCTTTCGCGAAGCAAATCTTGCTTTTGACCATCGTTCTGCGCTTCTCGCGCCTTTCTCAGGCTTTCCAGCGCTTTATAGAGTCGTACGTCATCGGCGTTGCAAAAGCCTCCGCACCGCTCTTGCAACACTTCCGCCACTGCGTCGATGCTGACTTGAGCAGCCATTTGAGAATCGATGACCGCTTCGACAAGGTTCCTAGCCACTTCGCTCCCATCTGATGTGGTGACAAGACCGGAGAATGTCAGCTGCGACAGCTTCGTTTGCGATTCTGGTTTGCATCGCGATACGATCGATGGCAGACGATAGTCGATCAGCAATAAGACGAAGGATATCGCCTCAATGGTCCGCGCAAGCAGTTGTCGAAGCGCATCGAACGCTTCTTGCTCCTGTTGAAAAGCGATCTGGTTGACATCATTGGCGCCTGCTCCAGCTTTGCCTCGCGCATTGGATCCAATCCCGAAGAGCTGGGCATTCTGAGTCAAGAAAGTCTGCAGGGATCGTAAATCCTTTTGGGCTGCTGAGAGCGTGGCACTGCCAATAGCTGCTTGCTGGCGCTCTCCTTCGCCCGGTACAACCGTCCTCTGAGTCACATTCTTCGTCCAGAACGAACGTACAAGTCGTGCCAGGTAAATAGTCAAGCCGTGGTACTTGGCACTGTAGAACGTGTGACCGTCTGAGGGCGACATGCTCGGTCGAGGCGGCGGCTCGTATCGGGGAGATCCTCCAAAGTCGAAATAGGTCCGCCACGCGGACGAGACCACTTCCGCACCCAGCATGCGCGTCTCAGCCTGCTGAACACCTCCCTTGGTTCCAGCAAGCAAGGTTTCCGGCGCAAGCAGTAATTGAGAGTTGCGGGTTGCAACAGCTAGCGCCATGGCACAGGTCTGATTGGCGCCCCAGCTGAGAAAATAGAGTCGCGCAAATCGGGTCAACACAACAGAGGGGCACGCAGATGGTCTCCGCTCCCGGCACTCACAGTTCAATGAAGTGCAGCAATGATGCATCAACTCCCGTTGAGCCCTCCAGAATGCTGCACAAGGTGTCCATAGGGCGCACCTCCGTGATGACGTTGATGCCGGAGTTAGTGAGCACCAGGACGATGCGCGGCGGCAAGATGAATTGCGCCACCAAAGGCGACACTGCATTGGCCGCTGAGATCGCTGTGGCAGTAGAAGCATTGACAACCTCCTGAATATCCCACGTGGCACCCCGTATGAGCACAAACGTCGCAGAATCTGTGTCATTCTGCGATGCGTTGTGAGGACCAGTTTGGGAGTAGGTGGCTGGGGCGACCGGTGCGCTAAACGTCTTCCATGCGGCTGGCCTCGTCACGCCCAACAGCAGATCGGTAGCGCCGGTGGGATCTTCAGGATTCTTGCCAGACATGAGGGTCAAGCCATACGCATGATGACCGTGGTACGCCTGGAAGCCCTGAGGGGCGGTTCTTGCATGCTCTCCGGCGCGTTGCTGACTAACGGGCTCAGACAGTTGTCCAGCTTGAGGAGGCAGTCTGCAGAACATCAGGCGCACCGTTTCGGGCCTGGATCCGAAAGAATGGAAAGCGCTGAAAAAGAGTCTGACACCTCTGTTGGTGATAGCGACGAGATGGGCAGTCTTGCTTTCCTTAGCTGGCACTGCGCCAATCCACTCGATGTAGAAGTCTCCTGGTGGACCCCAGAGGGAAGCGTTCGGAAGGAAAGTGCTGATGGACTTGGCTACCTCAGTAGAGCGAGCAATGGATCGCGGCGCCACGCCTGGCGACATGCACCAAAGTTCGATTTCCCGTTTAGCCCACAGTACCCATATCAATCCCCTGCTGCTATCCACTTCTACCGCAGAGATCCCCTCTGTTGCACTCGAGAAGAATCAGTGGACACTCTTCGAGGGCATGCACACTTGCGCTCGGTTTCCAAAGACTCACGCTGTGCAGGGCTACCAAAGATGGTTGGAAGTAGATTCGCAAAACGCTTTTGGGTCAGGTTGGTGATCCAGCATTTTGAGGACCACCACCCCTCAGCGGAGGTGTACGAGATTTCATAAAGGTTGTTGTCTGAACCTGCTGCGAAGATGCGGCCGTCATCGGTGCCCCGGATGTTGGCCAGCGTTACGCCCTCCGTGTTGGCCTGTATTGCGGTCATGTAGAGCTTGAGACTTTCAGGAGGGTTACTGGAGCCACTGGCACCGTTCTCCCCGGTTGCCGAAGCCGTGCTAGACTCGAAGGAGATGCCAAGCAGCATGATAGAGGAAGTTGACGCAACGACAAGAAGGTGCGAGATGGAATCGATGAAGACGCCTGGCTTCGGCCGAGCGAGACCAACAGATTGAATTACGCTGTCTGGATGCTCAAAGGATTCGAATGCGCCGCTACCGCCATCACTGTAGCTCCACAAGTACAAGCGAGTGTCGATGATGATCCAAGCTCTCGAGATTGAGGGAAATAACCCCTGGGCAGCTCGGGATTGTGGAGCTGACACGCGAGGCGCATTTACGAGTCAGCCTCACGAGAAAGCAGCCATGACAGCCCAAGCTCGCATTTGCTACTCTCTTGGCGAGTACTCGCAACCTGCGGCGAAAACTCACAGCTGATAGCCTCGATGACTTCGTCAGGAATGGGCAACACTCTCCTGTTTGTGACAGGCGCCCATGGAGGAGCAGCATACAGCCTGGCATGTGTCTGGGGGTTGCCTAGCCACTCCACTAGATCTGGGTACACTTCGTCCTCCCTCAATGTGTTTGCGACGACTGCATCCGCCCGGGAAAGTCGAGCGAAGTCTTCGTTGCTAGGACCAGCGGTGATCATGTCGTTGACCTCGTGGTTGCCGGATCTGACGATCTTTTGGTCGGAGGATGTCTGGATCACCTGCGAGCTACTAGGCGCTGCAGCATTCCGAGCTTGGTTGTATGAGGTCGTGAGCGACATGACGACCACGACGGTGGGATCACAGCTTTCAGGCCGAGATCATATGAAGAGCCGCTGGCAAGGCTGGTTCCGTCGATTGACGAGGGAAATAGCGTGACCCCAACACCACGTCCTGCTAATGACTTGTGTCTTGACAGGTCTCGCGAGCTCGAAAGCTGGCTGACTAGGTGTCCCGAAATTTGATGATGGAGACGTGAGATGATGCTGGTGAATCGTGCGCATGGACCTGGCGTTCAAAGAAGTACACAAGACGCGCGAGAAGAAGCGATGCTCGCCATCAAGCGAAAGCGACACCTTCGGCCCCAAGACTCATCAAGACTTCATCCGCGGACGATTCATTCAGTCACGTGGTAGCTCCGAGACGCGCGCGTATAGCGCGTCTTACGCGCGCCGCTGGTCGAGTCTGCGCGACTCAAAACTGCAGAATGCTGATGCTGCAGTAGCACATGCGAACGCGCGCGCGGGCTCCCGCCTGTCGCGGTCAACAC